TTTTTCTACCATCAGGGAGACTAGTTTTGAAAAATAATTTATTTTGGTTTCAGCAAAGAGTGGCAAGGTTCTGATAAAATACAGAATCAAACCAAAAACATAAACTGAGATAAAAAGAGAAGACTAGATGGAATAAGCAAACAAAAAGAGTGTTGGCCTTGAGGAAATAATTTTGAAATACATTATCTTACAAAGATGTTATTCTCTGCACTTTATCCAAAATCCCTACCATATGTGTCAGGAAAATAAAAGTGTTCTACTCTAAAACTCACTACCCTCCAATGCCTCAGCAGTGTGGAAAGCTTTATACTGTGGCTGATGGCCTACCCAGACTCTGTAAGTTCCTCACATAATTCTGGCTTTGGAGTCCTTCACTCTACCCTAATGGCTGACCTAAGATACCACCTGATAGTTGTTCTTCTTCTAAATTCACCCTCTAGGGTGGTTCACAATAGTGTACTATCCACATACTTAAACTCCAGCCTGCACTGCCTTTGCTCTTAGAAAATGCTCACGAAATCCTAAGTATGTTGTGCCATCACCTCTTCACACATAGGATATTTACCTTTGGGCAACTTCTGACAGTTTCCTCAGAGAAAGTGAAAAGTTCTCAGATCTCTTAGATGCATTTGTTCTTACCCATGTGCAAGAAATGGTGAATTCTAAAAACTTCCATAAATGGTGGCCTTTTATGTAGTACCTTCTGCAAAAGCAACACATAGCATTTACATATCAAAGTCAGTAGGATTATCCTCCACACTTCTATTTCCTACTCTTGTCCACTGTATCTATTTGATCATTATGAGCTTGGATCACTATCTGTGTCTACATGTGATCCCCACTTTAATCTACTCCAGTCCCAGTATCCATGGAAATTGGTGAGATTCCATTATATGTATATGTGTATATATATATATATGTATATATATATATATATAGTTATGATCATCAATAAATATATGATATTTAACTGCTTAGATTTGGCATTAAATACTCTGATTTTAAGAATGGAATGAATGATGGTATAGGTGATACATTAAGAATAACAGATGAATGTAAAAAGCATGCAAATACCAGAAAAGACAACAAATAGTGTCAGTGATGGAGAGATGAGGGAGGACAAAAAAATTTCTGTAGGAAACATTAATAGGAATAAGATGTACATGTATTATTATGTGTACTAGAAAAATATAGACTTGTCAATGTATCAACACCACTATAGGAAACCATTAATAAAAAAGAGAGTAAGATGATGTAAAGAATAATGGGCAAACTATACGAAGTGGTAACTCAGGTGGCAAATATCCTGAAACAGTAGGTAAAAGACCACAGTGCAGGAAAAACAGATTTAGGCGTTTTGATTAATGTGAAGTCCTTGTGCCTCTCTGAGACCTTGGCAAATCACAAGGTCAATCAAGTTCAGTTTCTTCCTCTATGAAACAGCATTTAACGTCACACATTTTTTATGACATAAGAATAGGTCATATTCAAAGGTGAAAATGGTTTCTAAGCAGTAAGAATATGTGAAACAATCAGCATTTTAGATATAATTAGTGAAGAGAATGCTGAAACTACTAAGCAATGGACTTCTAATATTAGAGTAGTATAATTGCAAACAGAAATGGTAAAAGGCTAGAAAATGTAGAATTTAAGAGTCTGTAGTCCTTACAGTTTTAAAATTAATTCAGTATTGTATTCTGGCTCTGAATTATTCATTATCTTTTATCCTCAGTGATCTCACCCTCCTCCAAAGAAAAGTTATGATTTAAGCATCTATGTCATTAAAATACTTCTGGAATTAAACACTCTTATAAAGGGCTCAGTACACATAATGTTCTAAATATAAAAGCAATTGTTGATATAATATCAACAAGTAGGGCCAATTGAGCTAGAAGAGATGGCAACATGATTTTTTGATTCCTAATAATTCTGGAAGAAATTCCTCTGTAAGTTTAGGAATTCTTTTCATAAAAGTTGTTAAGACAAGTAAATATTCCTGACAAGAGTTTTCTTTGAAACTGATAGCAATAAAATGATGCTGGACAACCACCTGAAGAAAATATGGAGTACATCACATTGCAGTTGTCCTACTGGGTTGATCTGAGTTGAGGTCCAGAAGTCAAGATTATGGTCAGAAATTGACTAAAATATACAAAGCCAGGAGGTTGATTTAAGAAAGAACTTTGCGGAAAGACAAACTGTGGATGCCAAGAACTCACAAATACATCGTTTCTGAAAGCAAGCATCCCACTTCAGACATTACATGTGAATTTTTAACTTTAGGAATCTTTTGGCCTCTGTGGATATAAGTTCATTTTCTTGTCTTACCTCTAACTGGCTGTATGCATTCGCCCTGGAAACTGACTTGCCTAATGTAAGTATACATCACTCAAATGCTTAGCCATTGGAAATGGCGTATTACCAGTGTGTAGCTACGAGAGACAGCCACAGCTTTGGGGCTAAACATTCAAATGTTAGGGTCAGATTGCCTGAGTTTGAATCACCTTAGACTTCTTAAAAGTTCCCTGCCCTGAGTAAGTCACTTTCCTTTATGTACCTTGCCTATAAAATGGGAACGAAATGAATTTTTTCATTCAAGGTTGTGAGCTAGACATGAGTTAGTACTTGTAAAATGCTTGTAATATTTGTCCCAGAGAAAACCTTCCATAAATATAAGTATTCTCATTAAAAGAAGTTATTTCCCCAAACCAGCAATTCTCAAGCTTTAAGTATATCAGAATCACAGAAGGCTTAACACAATGAGCCCACTCCTACCACTTCCAAAGAAGTGAGTATTCGTTGTATGAAAGCCCAGAGTGATATTGAAGTTGATGGTGTCAGGAAAGAATCTTAAGAAGCAGTGCTTCCAAATACTATACTATACTATAGCACTAATTCCAAATTCTCAACAAAAGTCAGATGCAATGCTACTAGAGCGAATGAAGCAGTCATTTTAGCTACATTATCTCAATGCTTATGAATGAATATATAGGAAGTCTTGTCTAGAATTGCAAGAGCTACCTCATGTGGTTGTGTTAACCGGGATAATTCTGGAGGCAGCTCTGTCCCGGGTATTGGGGCTAGAGATGAGGAAGGGGAACACAGTCCAAGCAGATATAGTGGTATTTACACCCAGCTTCTCTGATCTGATCATCTCTTTCATAAGAGGGATTTCTCTGAGGCTGTGTGTGTGCACACACGTGTGTATACAAATAATATTAATCCTTTAAAGAGAAAATTCTGCCCTTTGCAACAAGAAAGACTCTAGAGAGCATTATATCAAGTGAAATAAACCAGACATAGGAAAACAATCACATCTCACTGATGTGTATAATCTTTTTTTAAAGTGAAATATACACAGAAAGAGAATTAGAGTGACATCGAAAATGAGAGGAGACAAAGGTCAGAGGACACCAAGTAGTGGCCGTGGAGCATGAAGGAGTTTAGAGATTGAACGTACCTGAGAACTACAAGCAGTAAAACTGCACTGTCCTTGGAACTGCTGTATAAAAAGTAGACGTTAGCTGGACCTGGGGGCACATTCTTGCAATCCAAGCGCTCTGAGAGGTTTGGGCAACTTGGCAAAGAGAAGGAAGGGAGGAGAGGGAAAGAAAGGAGAGGAGGGGAGGGGAAAGAGGAGAGAGGGGAGAAGAAGGGAGGAGAAGCAAAGAGAAGGGAGGGCAGGGAAGGGGGGGAGAAAGGAAAGATGTAGCTCACGGCGTCCCTGTGAAGGCCCTAGGCTCAATTCTCAGTATCTTAAATTCAAAAAGTAACTTTTAGTTTCTTGCTGTTTTTGCCACAAAAAATAAATGTGAAACAATGGATCTGATGATTTACTTCACCGTAATAATAATCTTACCAACTACATGTATCCCATAATTTCATGTTGTGTCCTTTAAATACATGCAACAAAATGCTCAAAATCACTGGTCATTCACCAGATGCAGATCAAAGCAACACTGAGATTTCATCTCCAAAAATAATGGCTATCATCAAGAAACTAACCAATAACACCTTCAAGGCTATGAGGGCAAAGGAACCCTTCTCTACTCTGGTAGGAGTGTAGACTGGTGTAGTTACTATGCAAATCAGTTTACAGATTCCTCAAAACACTGAAACTAGAGGTCCCATTTGATTCAGCTGTTTCCCTTCTTGGATTCTTCCCATAAGAATTAAAAGCATCATACAGTGAAATACACACACCCATGTTTATAGCAGCACAGTTTATAAAGCTAAATTTTGGAAACAACCCAAATGCTCATCAACCGAGGAATGGATTTAAAAAAAGACACAGACTTTTTATACAATGGAGTACTACTCTGTCATAAAGAAAGCTACACTTGCGACATTCTTAGGTAGATAGACGCAGCTTAAGATCATACTGTTAGGTGAAATACATTGAACACACGTGTATACATAGTGCACTGTTTCTCTGGTGTGAGAAACTGAAAGTGTAAGTAGGAACCAAAATATATAGTTGTTCAAAGGGAAAGGGGGATGGGGAGAAAAAATGGTAAAAGGAGAATCAAATTGAAACAAAGGCTGGCTAAAAAAGGGACGAGTTGAAGAGAGGGGGAGGGGAATGGGAGGGGGAAAAAGAGGAGCTAAGATATATCATGCACAGGCACAAACTCCCTGTGATGAATGTGATCATTGTGTATATTTTAAAATATCTAAACTGCGTCAATAAACTTGATCAAAAATAAAACTTATTTAAAAGGGGGAAGTGTTTCTCCAATAGGGCTAAACAGAACATTTAATCTGCGTAAATCACGATTATAATCCTCAGCTTTCAAATGGCCCTTTGGACCTCAGACCCAGGACATTCTCGGGGATTAAAGTCATCTCTTAACCCCAAAGTCCCGCCTATCACCAGGTGGCCGAGAGCACGGGGGAAATGGACTGCAGCCACTGAAGCTGCCCACCACTCAGCAGGGATGCGGTGCGGGGTCCTGGAATTTCAAAGTCGCCAGGAAGCAAGAATGAAGGCGTCCATGCAGCCCTTCCTTGCTCCAGCAGATCTCAGGGGGGCTGAGCATCCTCTGCTCGGCCGCCCCGCCTTCCCGCCCGCCCGCCTGCCCGGGTCTGAGCTGTCTGCACCGCTGCAGCCCAGCCGGGTCCGCTGGCCGCGCGAGCCTTGGTCACCGGGCTAGAGGTGAGCGGAGCCGCCGACCCTGCCCTGGGGAGGGCCAGCAGCCAGCGGCCAGGGGCTTGGCGCGGGAAGGGGAGCCGCCCCGGAGCTGGGGGACCTGGGAGGCCGGAGCAGGGCTGGAGGTCAGGGGAGCACGCAGGGGACCACGAGCCAGACAGTCACTTCTGCAATCTGGATGCCAGGCAGGAGACACGCGGGGGAGAGAGCGGTTAGCACGAGGATCCTGAGGGTGGACGCGGATGCGATCGCGACACGATTGTCCAAGAAGGACAATAGGAGACACTACCGGGTCCTAAGGACAAGGTGGAGTGATGGCAATAATCATCATATTCAAGCCTTAACTTAAAGTCCAATGGAAGCACACTGTAGGGCTGCGCGGGGCAGGGGGTGATTTTAAAGCTAACAACAACAAAGACAATCATTACAATAAAGGAACACTTAGGGGTCACTCTGACAACAGCGCCCTGCAGTTACAAAAGCGCCTCCCGGGGAGGTAGCCAAAAATCATAAACTGTTGCTTACTTTGGGAACACAGAACTCCCCTCCTCCTCAGGTTTGGAATCAATTTTCCATTTCCTGCGAAGTTTTCTCTCTGCCCATGTCACAAGAGGATTCAGGACCAAGAAAGAAGAACTCAGGTATTGTCAGTTCCTATTTCATTATGATTATTTTTAGAGTTAGGTTTATATAATAAACCTATATGTTCTCAAATTGCTGGTTTCCTTTTAAGTAGCTCACATGTGGGCACACACAAGGCCTTTATTTTCCAGCTGAATACAGACATGATCGCTCCAACGCTTCTTCCTTTCTCTGTCTGATCATAATGTGGCAATGTGCCTCCAAAAAGGCAAAGAAAATGGTCACAGTGATGAAAGTAGTTACATGATTAATATTCTATTGCATTTTAATTCGGGCTAAACTCCAGGTTCCATCTTTGTATCTATATGGAGATATAAGCAATTTAGCATCTGTATTATTTCTAGTATACTTCAGAGCTAAAGGGTGGTTACTAGAAGAATCCACAATTCTGTTGCAAGGAATACTGAGTTTTACATATTATGCAGGTCACTTTTGATTGAAAAGCATAACGAAGATTTTATTCCAATCCTGGGTGTTTTGAATTTCAGGAAATTAGCTTTGGATTCTTGGGCTTGCCTCACATGTGGGTAACAGATATCATTTTTCCAACAAGATGAACATTACTTCCTTGGTTATACCCTCCCACCCCGTTGGCAGATGGGTCATTACAGGGAGAAGGGACCAACAAAAGAATCAAAGAGTGTTTCTAAGCAGAGCCAAAGCAGACCACATGATGCCAGCCAGGGGGTCAGCACAGCTAGTACCCTGAGGTCCAAGCCTCAAGCCTTCCCAGCTGGTCAGTTACTGCCGCTTGTGGTCATTAGTTGGCAGTGAAGTGTCCAGTGTGTCTTTTTTGGCGTGGACTTGAAGACACACTAGAAGGAGATTTCTTTTTCTTTCCAGTAATTATTAGAACTCTAAAAATGTTTTTGAAAATAATGTTTTTGAGGAAGATTTAATCAAATGAGAAAACATATGTTATACATTAAATTAAATGTTATAAAATTGTTTGAAAAAATATAGACATATATGCCTATATTCATATAATATATAAAAAGGAAGGAAAGGAATATACCAAAATGCTGATTATATGAGAGGAGATTAGTTTTTTCCCTTTCAAATTGATTTGTAATTTTCCTTATATTCTAAGTTACACATATATTATTTGTATGTTTTTGGAAAGTCCATCTAATAGGATTCTTGTATGATAGGAAACTAAACCTTATATACTTCAGTCATCACATATCTTCATTATGGTGCATCATTTCCCTTTTAACAAATCCTTGCATGATGGAAACTGCTGCTTTTCATTAAGAAGCTGTGAAGAAATTTTCTCAGCAATAAATATCCCACTTGATCATAAGGCTCAGTGTGAAGCCAGAACACACTAACGCTTTCTAAAGACCACATTTTGCCTCTAAAGGTATGAACAACAGTTGTCTCTCAGGACCTTTAACAGTATGGGTCTCCTGGATTCCCAGAGTTGCTATGTAGTGCAACCTTGCTTGAACTATTTATAAATCCACAGTGTGATTTTTTTTTTTTCAGGATGAAAGTGAAAGGAGGGGAAATCAGCTATTTGCTGGTCTCCTTCACTGCAGTGTGCCTGGTGGCCACCCCTGGGAGCAGGGCCTGTCCTCGCCGCTGTGCCTGCTACATATCCACAGAAGTGCATTGCACGTTTCGGTACCTGACCTCCATCCCAGAGAACATCCCACATGATGTGGAGCGCATCAATTTAGGGTGCGTGGGGCCCAGTCTGATCCCGCTCTCACAGAGGGATAGATCATGTTAGTCCCTTGTCTCTCAACTGCCAGTGACTTTGGAAGATTAATCACAAGCGTTTTTTGTTTTGTTTTGTTTTGTTTTGTTTTATTTCTTTTTTCTTTTTTTTTTCTAAAATGAGCTTGCCTGTTGGGAACAACATGGACATTTTTTTCTGGTAAACTGTTCCTAAGATAAAGTGCAAAGTCTCAATTCCTTTTAGACAGGTTGGGAAGATAATGATTATAGAAGCTTTTCTATAGGAAGTTTTACTGGAAAATCATATACCTCCAGTGAGGAATATGTTATGATATATTGTAAGAAATGACAGGGCAATTGGAATTTTTTGTCCTTTCTATGAAAGATATGAAAAGTCTACTCTGTCTCCTGTAAGGTCATTTGAGATTTATAAATGCTGGGACATGGTAAGCACCCAATTAATGTTAGCTATTGTTATCAGTGGCTTATTTTTAAAATGCTTGCCTAATTAAGTATGTCTAAAAGATAGTTATACTCTAAAAGCTTGTGAAAAAGTATTTATGTGACACTAGTAAACATCTTTATGTCAATGATAATGTTTGGCACTGAGGACACAATGATAAGTGACATTATTCACCTCTGGAAGCTGTAGTGACAGACACACAATTTAATAGGAACTGTATCAGGGCATATAAGGTGCCTTGGGAACAACAGTGGAAAATAATGGTCAACATTCATCGTGTACTCACTATGTCCTAGCATTGGGCTAGGCTCTCTCTCTCTCTCTCTCTCTCTCTCTCTCTCTATATATATATATATATATATATATATATATATATATATATATATTCATTCATTCATTTAAACCTCATAACACTTTGGACTTGGTCCTGTTATCTTCACTTTATAACTGGGGAAACTGAGATACAGAAAGACTCCTGATTTATCCAAGGAAGCACAAAACTTAAGTATCCAAGCTCATAATCACAACCAGACCAGAATTCCAGTAATTCAGTACTAGTGAATGCATCAGCAAATAGTGTCATAAAAGCAGGGCATAGATCTTAATGTTCACAAATAGACAAGGGTGGGGTCAAAGGCAATCCAGCCTGAAATCTCGGCATGCACATAGATATTTGAAAATGAGAATGAATGAGGTAAGTTCCAGGAGTGTGGAGGGGCTGACTGAAACCCAGACTGAAAGAACTGGGTAGGGTAAAGCTGTTCTTCAGCAAAATCTGATGAATGAGTCATTCATTAGAATGACTCTTTAGGGCACAGGAAAAACAAGAGAAGCATCAGAGGCATATGTGTGAGTGTGTGTGTCTGTGTGTGTGTGTGTGTGTGTGTGTGTGCGTGTGCGCGTGTGCATGCATGTGTGCATGTGTTACCTTAGAACTTCAGCTTGTGCCTAGACTGACATTTTTGTTTCAGGTATAACAGCTTGGTTAGACTGACAGAAACAGACTTTTCTGGCCTGAATAAACTGGAGTTACTCATGCTGCACAGTAACGGCATTCACACAGTTGTGGACAAGACCTTCTCGGATCTACAGGCGCTGCAGGTGATTCTGGTGGGGGTGGATTAAAATTCTGAGAAAACTGAGAAAATTCTGAGACAACTTTTCTCATATCTCTGGATCCAAGGAAGCACAAAAGAAGAAGAAAATATCAATACTCTGGGCTCGCTAAACGTTCGGATTTAATCCTAAAAGGCTGCATCTAACACCAGTATGTGATCCCTTAAAAATATTGACTGTCTTAGATGTTAGCTTCCTCTAAGTCAATACACTGTTCTCTTTTTTCAGAGTCACTTGATTTACTTGCTTGTGCTCTGCGTTCTTGAAAATGTTTAAAGTTACAGGGACTCCCACTACTGCATAAAATGTTATGAGAACAGTCACACAAGTAGGTGAGAAACTCAAAGTTAAAAACAAGTCTAAGGGCAAGAACAAGAGAAATACAAGGTAATGTCTACATAGAAACTCAAGTCTGCTCTCTAAGTAGGACTTGAGGCTTTGGAGACTCTAACTCACATCTCCTGCACTTTTAAAAATAAAAATAAACCACACTACTGTTCCGAAAAGCAATATTTATGATTTTAAATCAGAAAGAAATGTCTGACAGAACTCTTCATAAAATAGATACAGTGTAATAAAGGCAATAATACACTTATAAATAGCATTCATGGAACCTTTTAATATCATTGTACAGCTACAAATGAAGGTTTTAATCATAGTAGGGAATAATGTAATACAGAATATTAAATAATTATTTTGATTTAACTTAAATCAGGCCCTAGATTTGGAATATATGTGTATATTCTGAGGAGCAGATTACATATCTTTCATGGCATTCTCTACACAGCCATTGTCTTGACCAGGCTTTCTATTGATTGATATTGTACACCCAGGTAACACTGGGCCAAAGCTCTTTTTGGTTGCCAATTTAACCTTCTTTCTTAGACACTTGATATTCCAAAAATGTATCTTCAAGACAAATGACACCTTACACAAAATCAGAAAAATATGATGAAAAATCATTGTTTCTACTAGTATTTCTTGTCTTTTCTTTATGGGAGTATGACTATGTTCAACTACTAAAGGGAAGAGACATTAGAGAATATTGAAATAATCAAAATGATTTGTTTCAGTTTAAAATCATATTACTCAAAATCACCAAAAGTGGAAAACACACCAGATGTTCACCAACTGATGAATGAATGAACAACATCTGGCTTATGAATGAAATGGAACGCTACACAGTAATAAATAAGAATAAAAGCTTGATACATGTTGTGACAGAGACGAACCTTAAAACATTTTTCTAAGTAGAAATGTCACACACAAAAATCCACATATTTGCATTTATATTTCCATTTATATTAAATATATCAGATAAGCAAATGTATAGAAACAGGATGTAAACTGGTGAATTACCACTCATCACTGTTGGTTTTTATTTGAGGGTGGTGAATATTTTCCAACCTTATGTAATGGGGATGGATGTACAATTTGGTGAATAAATTAGAGGATAATGGATTATTTCAAAGAAGTGAATTTTGTGGCATGTGAATTATATGTCAACTCTATTATAAATCTAAAAATCAAAGCCAATATATATTCTGTCTACTCAGGTTCAAGAAGTCTTAAACTTTTTGGAAGTGTTTTTTAAAAAATGCTTTAGATTATGAGAATTTTCAGCCTTATACAAAAGTAAAGAGAACAGTATAAGGACCTCCAGCAAATCATTGTCCACTTCAGTAGTTATCAATACACATTACCCCTGCCACTGTGCTTGACATTCCACTGAATCATTTCCAAACAAACCCAAGCTATCATGTTTCATTTATAATATATATATATATATATATATATATATATATATATATATATATTAAGGGATCTTGGGCTTGCCTGGCAAGCACAGGATCATGAGTTCAATCCCTGATGCCCATAAAATTAATTAATTAATTAAAGGACCTTTTTAAAAATAGTCACAATATTATTATAATTTTAACAGTTCCTTAATATCAAAAATATTTGTGAGTGTTCTAGTTTCTCCTATTTAATTAGCAACTAATTTGTTAGAATTGGGCTCCTAACAACGTGTGCATACTGCATTAAGATTAACTTCACTATGTTTTACTATTGATATAGGTGTTTCTCCTTTTCTAAGGATTTCTTTGACAATAAAGGTGTTTATGGTTTTTTGTTTGTTTGTTTTTCATCCATAGGTCTTAAAAATGAGCTATAATAAACTCCGAAAACTTCAGAGAGATATTTTTTATGGTCTCAAGAGCCTAACTCGGTTACATATGGACCACAATAACATCGAGTTTATCAACCCAGAGGTATTTTATGGACTCACCTCTCTCCGCCTGGTACATTTGGAAGGAAATCAGCTCACTAAACTCCATCCAGATACGTTTGTCTCTTTGCGCTACCTCCAGATATTTAAAACATCTTTCATTAAGTACCTGTACTTGTCAGATAACTTCCTGACCTCTCTTCCTCAAGAAGTGGTCTCTTACATGCCTGACCTAGAAAGCCTTTATCTGCATGGGAACCCATGGACCTGCGACTGCCATTTAAAGTGGTTGTCTGACTGGATACAGAAGAAACCAGGTATCTACTTATATCATTTATATCTTATCCTAACTACATGGGAAAATAAATATGGAAGTATTTTATCAGCAGTTGAGAGCCCTGAGTAATTTTGTTGAAGAAAATGAAATCCCACTAATAATTCAGTGACAATGATTTATTTATACCTGCATTAGTGCTACAGTGGTACAGCCAAGAAATTGTGTCTGAGACCTGCAATCCACAGTGCTTAAATTGTGTACTGCCTGGCCTATTATATTAGAAGTCTGCTGACCTCTTAGAGAACCAAGCCTGTGTCCTTCTGTTCACATGCCTGGTCCTCCGGGTGTGGTCATATCCTATCCTCAACCTTCTTCCTTTCCACCTTTACCCCTTCTCTCACCCTGGACACACAGCACTTTCTCTCTAATAAATGAATTACTTCCTGACACCCCACACTATTCCACCAGCTCACAACTCCTGTTCCCTGTGCCTCCCCCTCCCCTCTGTTTAATGTGCATTTACTCAGCCAGCCAGCTAGCTTTGCTCAGCCCACATTTTCCCTGCCGGGAAATCTGGCTGCTCCTCCACCCAGCCCCTCTGCAGCAGATTTCACTACTTTTGCAGTTCATACACCCTTGTGTTGGTGAAATTTTATTATATTAACTAGTATTAGATATTTGTTGCTATCCTGTGACTAATTTATCTATCCTTAGTCCCTATAGATGCCTGAAGCGTAGTAGTTACTCAGAAACTTCTGTTAAACACAGCATTAACAAAAGAGGATTATAGCTATTTTGTGAGTACACACAAAATAAGCTGCAGTAATAGCCACAGTTACAGAGCCATTTTGATGATGGGTACAAATGAGCCTACCAACCCACTCAATACCTCTGGCATTAGTATGTTCAAACATTTGGGTAGAATTCTTGTCTGTATTTTTTCAAATAGATATCATTTATATATACATAACTCTTTAGGGCTAGCATATTTTAATCATCTCTAAATAACTAAGTGTTCTCCTTTAGCCTAGGACAGCTTATTGATAGAACTACAACACCCATGAGTAAGTCACATCAACTTTGGGCTTCAAAGAATTTTCTTCTATTGCAAGAGATCTGAAAGTTTCTCACACCTTGCTTGGTCTGCATTAAGCAATGCTTTGCAAATATTAGAGTATTCAAATGTAGCATTCTTCTATTCAGGAGAGATATCTTCCATTGTTTGATTCCATAAAACCCTTGGTATTGCTTGTCTATAACATACAGATTTCTCTGATAAACATTTATTTCACAAATACTAAATATATGTCCTGCTGCTTCGTTTCCATGCATTTCTATATCCATAACTTTCTTATTTCAATAACAAATAACAACATAAGCTTCATAAAAGCAAACAACTTAAGTAGGAAACATAACATATGTTTATTAATAATACTTGTGATAGAATGGAAAACAAAACAAAGCAAGTAACCAAGACAATACTTGCAGAAATCCAGGTAGTAATCGCAATAGCAAGACTGCTTGCTGGCCAGCAGCTACCACAAAACTTCCTCAGCTGTAAGAAACATTTAAGTTTAAAATTAAAGTGTCCAAAAATATTATCTTAGAATTGAACGTGTCAGCTGCCTATATCCATCTACCCCACTCACGCCCTTCCTTTCCTGTCCCCAATCTTTCCTGAGAATCCCATACGAAGCAGGAAGACAGACAACTAAACAGTCATTTTAATGGTGAGTGGTGGTAAAGGATTCAATAGGAAAATTGCAAGGTCCTAAGAGAACATGAAGCAATACAGTTCTTGCTGAGCTGTTGAGTGGTGTGCAGTTAGTGATGAAAGAGGATGTGTTAGCAAGTGCGTGAAGATAGAAGGAACAGTGCATGCCAGAACCTGGCAGGGCTTGGCAGTGCTGAGGAACAGAAAGTCTTCTGTAAGAGTGGAACCTGGGATGATGAAAGCTATGCAAGTGAACCAGCCAGGCAAAATACTTGATGATCAAATCCTGCTAACCTTGGTTCACATGCAACAACAATAAACATCATATGATGTGAGCATAATTTTGCGATAACAGTCAAGCCAGAAATCTGTCATGTTCTGTATTTTCATGATATCTGATCTTAGGGTGCTGATAAGCAGGTGGAGGACACTGCTTGTTTGTAAAAGATGATTGGAAGGAGCCTTTTATGATTGCTCAAATCTTTCCACTCTTGTCAGCTATACCCTCTGCAGAAGTTGACACTATAATATTTGCTGAAGAATTCACACTGGCCAAACATCTGTAACATTACCATTTACTCTGAAATACAGTAGTTCCCTTTGATCTACGGGGTATATATTCCAAGACCCCAAGTGGGTGCTGGAATCCTCAGTCCTGTGTAATTCAGTTCTTTTTCCATCTTAACTCAGCACTTTAGTCATTGTGGGCACACATTTTGCAACGTAAGGTACAAATAGCAAAGCTAGCAACAATTGTTTCCTACATTATAATTTCACAGATAAAAGATCGGTTCTTACCATAGATCATAACGAGCTTAAGATGTGAGCTTTTTCTTATCTCAGATTGACAGTTTTCACCTTTCACTGAAAATACTTCATGAATTTTCTTTAGGATATCTGAGTTGCATCATAACTCTTGCACTTCGAGATCATTATGAAATAAAATAAAGTTACTTACCACAATGACTTTCATATCGTGACAGTCTGTGTGATAACTGAGGCGAGAACTAAGTAACAAGCATGAACTGTGAATATTGGGGACACAGTAGAAGGAGTGAGGGACACTGGAATAGTGCGAGATTTCAGAATGTCACTCAGAACAGCATGTAGTGTAAAACTTAACAATTAGTTATTTCTAGAGCTTTCCAATTAATGTTTACAGGTCATGGTTGAAGAAGGGTAACTGAAACTAAAACAAGCAAAATTGTGGGTGTAGAAGGGCTTCTGTGCAATCTAAAGAGTGTGCAGTCCTTGGACAGAGCACTTTTCTCAGGCCTTTGAGAGGAAACGTGCACATATATAAAGGCAGTTTGACTCTGTCTAATCATTCTGGAAAATGCTTAAGGGCTGTGTCTAAGGCATTGTACAGGAACTACTGTATAGAATGGTGTGGAAATCTCAGGCTACATTTTGTGCAAGGAAACACTGTGTTCTACCTGCTTCATGATCTCCTGCCCCTGTCTGTTTCTCCCCATTCCTGTGTCTACCAAGCTGAGCTAGGCCACAGTATCTCATATTTCAGTCTATGTTCTTTTGGATAACAACAAAAAAATTTTAGTTTTAAATACTATTTACTTATAAAGCAATAACTTATCAAACAGGTTATCTTTTAAAGGACAATGAAGTTCTGTGACTGTCCTTTAAAACACTAGGAAGAAATAAAGTACTATTAACAAAAAATAACAAATGTGAGCATATCATTTTTAATTAAATGACTAAGTTATTCAACTAATATTTACTGAGTAGGAAGTATATACCAGGTACTTTCATGGCACAGAAAGTCAGACAGTCAAAACCTTTCTGCCTATGCATATTATATTGTAGCAGGGTACATAAACAGTATCATTTTAGAAATCATTTCAGAGGCAAAAACTTATCTATTACACATTAAAATTTCAATTTTTTTCAAATTCTGTCAGAAATATTTTTCAACGTTAATTTATAAAGAGCCCATAACTGATAATAATTCAATTGTGATTTTTCCTAGATGTAGTAAAATGCAAAAAAGATAGAAGTCCCTCCAGCCTTCAGCAGTGTCCCCTTTGCATGGACCCCAAGATCTTTCAAAGCAAGCCCTTGGCTACAGTCCCAGCTTCAGCTTTTCTGTGTGTGAAGCCAATGATTGACTCATCCTTAAAATCAAAGAGCTTGACTATTTTGGAAGACAATGATTCTGCCTCAGTGTCTCCCCAAGATTTCATGGCACCCTTTGGATCCCTCACTTTGAATATAACAGACCAGAATGGAAATGAAGCTAACATGGCATGCAGCATCCAAAAGCCATCGAGATCACTGCCCATTGCATTCACTGATGAAAATGACTACATCATTTTAAATATGTCCATTTCTACATTTCTCGTGTGTGATATGGGTTACAATCACATCCAGCTGGTGTGGCAAGTTTTGGCACTGTACAGTGATTCTCCCCTGATACTAGAAAGGAGTCATTTGCTCATTGAAGCACCGCGATTATGCTACAAATATAAACAAGTGGCTCTTAAGCCAGAAGATGTTTTTACAAATATAGAGGCTGATCTTAGCACAGATCCTTCTTGGTTAATGCAAGACCGAATTTCCTTGCAGCTGGACCGAACAGCCACCACACTCACTACATTACAAATCCGTTACTCAAGTGATGCTCAGATCACTTTACCAAGAGCAGAAATGAGGCCAGTGAAGCATAAATGGACCATGATTTCAAGGCTTAACAATACCAAGCTGGAACACACTATATTGGTTGGTGAGACCATTGCCCTGGACTGTCCAGGCCAAGGAGATCCCACCCCACACTTGGAGTGGCTTCTAGCTGATGGGAGTAAAGTGAGAGCTCCTTATGTGAGTGAGGATGGGCGGATTCTAATAGACAAAAGTGGAAAACTGGAACTCCAGATGGCTGATAGTTTTGACACAGGAATATATCATTGCATAAGCACCAATTATGATGATGCAGATATTCTTACCTATAGGATAACTGTAGTAGAGCCCCATGCAGGAGCTGCTCAAGAAAATGGGATTCATCGCACAGTTTTCATTGGCGGTACGTTGGATCTTCCATGTCATTCTACTGGCATTCCAGATGCCTCTGTTAGCTGGGTTCTTCCAGGAAGTATTGTGCTCTATCAGTCCTCAAAAAATAAGCAAATTCTTACCAATGACACATTAAGAATATCCCACATTACACAAAAAGATCAAGGTCATTATCAATGTGTAGCGGCCAACCCATTGGGGGTTGATGTATTGATTTTTAAAGTTTCTGTCAAAATAAAAGATCAAAGGCCAGAGGAGCAGGGTGTGGACACAGATGGATCTGGTTTCAATGTACCTGATGTCAGTGCTCACCTTAAGGACTTCTCAGCTGTACAGCTCCCTACAGCTACTGCTCTGAGGACTGCGGTTCAAAAACAGGTCTCAGGGATAGCTAAGAAGGATAGTTATCAGGCGTTGCTACAGAAGCAGCGTGGAGATTCAACCAAACGACATTTTAGGGAGCACAGAAGGCAGTTTCTGCCCTCTGCTCAGAGAATTGACCCCCAACGCTGGGCAGAATTTCTAGAAAAAGCTAAAAAGAATGCCGTTCCAGAGAAACAAGAAAATACCCCAGCAAAGCCACCCCCACCAGTCACTCAACTTGTGGAAATATCTGTTGAAGAAGGAGACTCTTCAGGCATGCTTTTGCCAGATGAGGAATTCATAGTACTGGCAACCAGAGCTTCTAGTGTTCCAGCAACAGTGACTGCTGAATCTAGAATAATATCTCACAGCCTTGTAACAAACACTGCTTCTGGCACCAAAGTCTCCCCACTTGTAAGTCCACAAATCCTGCAACCTACTATTAAAATTACAACTATGTCAGAGAATATAAACCCAACCATGTCAAGCAAAATGCAAGACACAACCAACCAAAATCCAACTACCACCTTTCCATTACTATCTGGAGTCCCTGAGTTTCATGATGTTGACCAGATGGGGAGAAGAGAGCATATTCTAAGCACATTTCCAATAAAGGGGGAGATTATTACTGATGATGTCCACATTAAAATGCTTGACAGTAGTACTAACCAAAAAGCAGACACACTTTCAGAGTCAGTAAATACCACAGACGATCATGAGACACCTGTAACAAGAGCCAGTGAGCCCAGGAGAAATCACTTCTATTCTCACATTTCTCAAAACCCTAGCACCTCTGAAGTATCTTCAGATCCACACACTGCTGTCCCTTCTCAGTTCCAGATATTCAGAAATAATACAGCTATCATCTCACTACCCAGACGCTTTGGGAGATGGAGGAAAATTTGGGGCAGAGGACGAATAACCAGCCCATTTAGAAACTCAGTTCTCCGATGGCATAGATACAGCATTGTGAGGTCAACATCCAGAGGTTCTTCTGAAGAACGCACTACTGCATTTTCAGCTCCAGAGATGCTTGTGACGTGCCCATCTTGTTTACCCAGGCAGAGACTTTCCTCCACCACAGCCGCACTGTTTCTTCCAGAAACTTCCCCCAGCACTCTCCCCAGAGCTGAGATCACTAAGGTCACAACAGAAGAGTCTATAACACCAGCTCAGAGTCTTTCATCACTGTTTGAAAACAAGCCAATTGTAGATACTGAGACAATAACACCCACGATAAAATTTTTTGGTTCTGAAAGTACCCAGAAAATTTTAACTGCTACTGCCCTGACTTACTCTTCAAGATCTATATCGATGGAAAAAACTCTTACAGTAAATAATGGTTACCAAAGTGAGTCTAGCACCAGGGAAGCTGAAAGAGATTCAGAGATTATGTTACCTCTTTCACATCCCACTACCAAGCCACCTGTGCCTATTACTGTAGGCATTACAGGAATTTCACGAAGGAAAATTCCCTGGCATCAGATCTTTGTAAACAGGCACAATCCAAAAGGGTTATTAAAGAATCTGCATAAATTTAGTTTACAAAAAAGCAAAGCCACAATGCTTCCTAAAATACTTCCTGCTTTACCTACAAATAAAATTATCCCCTTCCATTCCACGACCCTCTCAGCAAGCCTGACACCAATTCCACCAGCAACTTCAACTACAGTTCACCACAATATCACTGAAACACACGCTCCTGAAAGTGTCCTATCAAGGAAGGGGCTTATCCTCCCACCTTCTTACCCTATGTTTCCTAGTAACTCAAGCAAAAAATCAAGTACAGTAAGCTTCACATCGATGCAGACAACACCAACAACTCTTCCCACTGCTTCTGCATCTGTCATTATCAATAAAATCCAAACAGCAAGACCCAGAGCACAAAAATGGCAAAGAATAGAGGAGCCTCAGAATAAGAATGATCTGAACATCTCTTCTGGTGAGAGTTTTGGCATCTCTACATCTGCTGCTGTGCTACCTCCTGTTTTGACTAGAACTGAAACTTCAGTCAAGCCAAATATCTCTGTTGTCACTCATTCCCTCCTAGAGTACACAAGTAGATCTTTGAGCAAAATTGACCAGCATTCGAGAACTACTAATCTGGCAAATGGAACTAAAGAACTACCCCAAGAGAACACTCTGACTTTGCAAAACACAATTGCTTCCAAAACAACTTTTTCTAGACTATCAGAGCAGAATACAACTAAGAAAACCACAATTAGTCTCTCAACCACGCCACCATTCCTAAGTAGCAGTGCCCCTCTAATGTCCATGCCTACCTCCCCTCCCTCTGCTCAAGGTGCAGCTACTGACAGCTCAGGAACATCTGTTTTCAAGATGACAGATATGATGGTCAAGCTGCATGAATCCTCAAGGAATAATACTAATTCACAGCAATCAGCAGAAGCACTCTCAGCACCACGGAAAGTGCACCCAAAAGCTGAGTTCACAACTAGAACCACTCACTTTACCTACTATGACCTATTGTATTCTACTCCCGCGTCAGTCCTAAACACAACAGTTAAACCACAGATTTCTAAATGGACGCCCTTTCCTCAGCCAGAAAACCAGTTTTGGCACAAGTCAGACCCAGACATTTTTGAAAAGGACAAGAATCCAGCAGCCAGTATGTCTCCCACTCTCAGCCTGCCGGAGCCCACTTCTCACACTTCACATTGGGGTAGACAGAATAATGCAAAGAAGAGTGGATTTGATAAGAAACCTGTGGAAAAAATAACTTCCACGGTCCTTTCCTCTGACATTTTGTCCAGGAATACATTTGAAAAGCCCAGAATAGTCGGAGGAAAAGCTGCAAGTTTTACTGTTCTAGCTGACTCAGATGGCTTGCTTCCTTGTGAGGCTATTGGAAATCCCCTGCCCACCATCCACTGGACCAGAGTCTCTTCAGGTATTTGAAACTTTTCTTTTACTCCATGATCTTTAATTGTAACACTAGGGAAAGGCTGTATTTTTTTTTTTTTTATCGGTACCTGGGATTGAACTCACAACCATGCACTTGCAAGGCAGCGCTTACGCCGCTGAGCTAAATCCCCAGCCCCTAAAAGGTTGTATTTTGAAGACATTTGCAAGTAATTTCTTCAGAAGTTAATCCTAGTCTCCAAAATACAGAAAATGTTCTCACTTGATATTTGTATAATTTGGCTCATTAGGTTTTAAAACATGTTCATTTATAATGTTTTTTAAAATACTTTAGAGGTATATCAAAAAACAACATTTAAAAAAAAGAGAATGGCTATTGCACTAAACTATCCAGTTTTTAAGTTTAAATTATGTAATTTTTTAAAAATTCAAGAATAACTAACTTTAGCAATCTGAAAACTAGATTTTTAAATTTGAAATGTATTTACTCTCAGTAGCCTAACAAAAAGACAGGTTTATGTATCCTATACAAGTTTTGGTGACCTATGGCTATAAATTTCTTTCTTTTCATCAGGAATTGAATTGTCTAAAAGGCAGCAGAAGAGCCGGTTCCACGTGTTCCCCAATGGCACCCTGTCCATCCAGAGGGTCAGCATTCAGGACCGTGGACAGTACCTGTGCTCCGCATCCAATCCCTTTGGCACAGACCGCCTTCATGTCACTTTGTCTGTGGTTTCCTATCCCCCCAGGATCCTGGAGAGACATACCAAAGAGATCACAGTTCATTCTGGAAGCACTGTGCGACTGAAGTGCAGAGTGGAAGGTAGGCCTAGCCCTACAATTGCCTGGATTCTTGCAAACCAAACAGTGGTCTCAGAAGCATCTCAGAGAAAGACTCAGGCCCTGGTAACATCCGACGGCACACTGGTCATCCATAATCTAAGTATTTATGACCGTGGCTTTTACAAATGCATCGCCAGCAACCTAGCTGGCCAGGATTCATGGCTGGTTAAAATACAAGTCATCGCAGCTCCCCCTGTTATTCTAGAGCAAAAAAAGCAAGACATTGTAGGGATTTGGGGTGAAAGTTTGACACTGCCCTGTACTGCAAAAGGAAGTCCTCAGCCCACTGTTCACTGGGTCCTTTTTGATGGCACTGAGGTAAAACCATTGCAGTTTACTAATTCCAAAGTGCTCCTGTATTCAAATGGGAGTCTGCATATAAGAAATATAGTTCCTGCAGACAGGGGCACTTATGAGTGCATTGCTACCAGCTCCACAGGCTCAGAGAGAAGAGTGGTAATTCTCACTGTGAAAGAACAAGAGACCATACCCAGGATAGAAGTTGCCTCTCAGAAATGGACTGAGGTGAACATAGGAGACAAATTACTACTGAACTGCTCAGCTACAGGGGAGCCCAAACCCAAAATAATCTGGAGATTACCATCCAAGACTATTGTCGACCAGTGGCACCGGTAAGCCCATATCTTTGTCCTGGAATTTTCTGGTTTATCTGCATAGCTGTACATAACTTTTGAAATGGGAAAGGTGATACAGTAAGGTTAACAGCACTTCTTAAAAATGCACAGACTGCACATAAAGTGAACTCTTGTCAATGAAACAGTACCTTTGAGATCATTGGAATAAAAAACTAATCTTACATGCTGAATTCTAAGGGTCACATTCTTGAGTTTATAATAGTTACATGAAAGACAAATGAGAATCTCATTTGCTTTCATACCTTTTGGCAGTTTTTAAAATGGTAACTGTAAATTCACTTGCAATTTCTATATTCGAAAAGAGAAAATTTTCATGGTACTGTTGAAGTTCTAGAGGGACACACTCCATTTCACTCTGAGTCTCCTACTGGAAATTTTTGTCTTTACTCAGTAATTTCTTCTTTTCTAAAATTGCAAAACACTTTACAAAAGTCACGATATTAAGATCTTCACAAGACAAAATGTTCTCAGGACTTTCATCACTTTGATATTGTCAGACATATAAATAAACACAACTTTCTTTAATATGTTCTTTACAGGCACACTAATATTCATCTTATAGCTGATTTTGGGATGTATTAAGACCTAGATTTGAAAAACAATAATTAAAATGAGTCATTCATTTTTGCTGTTTTCAGAACTTATGCAGTTGTTTCCCATAATATGCCAGAAAAAAAGATGAAGATGAGCATTTTATTTTCTCATTAATAGAAAACATTCACATAGAAAAACATTGTATATAATAGGAATGTATTTATACATATGCTTAGAACTTGAAGAATACATTTTTATCTAGTGCCAGAATGAGTCGGTAATAGACAAAATAAATTTAACTTCTGATGTTTTAATTCAAAAGCAAATGTTAATTTCAGGTTCAAATAAGTCATCAAACTTACCTAAGCATTAAGTAACAATTAGTTTAAAATTAAAAATTTTAAGTGATGAGCTATGGAATTTGAACTTTAGAAACCATATGTTTGTATTTGTAATCCACTACATATATCCCCATTTATGACACTTAATATTTTAATATATTACTTATTAGATTTTCATTTACTTTTACAAAGTCAGCCCTTTATTCCTGCCTTTAAATTATAGTGAGCATTTTATTGGTATGAATTACCACTTAAAAGTTAATGCATTTAAAAATAAACACAGCACATGAAGATAATTCACACTTACCTCAAGACTATTCATTGTTATTCACAGTTTTAGATATAAATTTCATTATCCAGCCAGAGATGTAACTCAGAGGCATAAGCACCTGCCTGGCAAGTGCAAGGTCATGAGTTCAATCTCCAGTACATAAACTAGTGGAAGTATGAAAACTTTGTACTTATGGTGAGAATTACAGACAAAGGTGAAAATTTAGGTTGTAAACACAGGTCTATAATCTGAGCATTTACTAAACATTAAGTCAATTTCTAACAATACAAATCTTTTATCAAGAATTAAGGTAATGCCTTAAAAGGTTAGTCCAAAGGATATCTGAAAAGTGTTATAAAACATATATTAGCATCTCAGAATAAGTATTGGTTAGGTATTCCAACCAATTCTCTAGAATTAAATAGCAAAGAAATGTGGCAGGCTGTTTATGTTTTGCATTGACAAAATACTTTTAGAACACAGAAATATTGTTTTATTGTGGAATAGGCAAAAATGTGTTTAAGACTGTAGATGCTATTGTTGGTCAATGAGAGGCACTGTAATCTATTTTTTAAAAGTTAATAGAAAATGAAAACTTTAATGATTATATTGAAAATAACCTCATGAAGGTAAAAATAATCATAGCTGTGATGAAGATTGTCTCTTTTTTACAACTTAAATTCAAAGTTCTAGTTCTGAACAGTGGGCATGTCAACAGAAAAAAATTGCAATTCTACTGCAAAACAAAACACTCCCCAAGCTTTATCTCCACAATTCAAAGAAGTAGGAGTTTGAATTTAGAATCTGAAAATGAGAATACTTTAATCACAGCTATGATAGTACATACACATCCACAACTTATCCCAAATAAGCAAATTCTTTTTCTGGAAAATCTCTCAGCTGAACCAAAAAGCTTGTTGTAGATTTTTTTTTTTAAAGATGATCCAGATTCTACACTGCTAGTTTGTTTCCCTTGCTTTTAGTATCACTTACGTGACCTATGGGACAGCTCAGAACTATTTTCTTTCCTCTAGAATCTTGTTTTTTATGATCTGGAAGCTTGCTAAAGTACAGAAATTCAGGTTCCACCCAAAACTATTTAATCAGAATCCACACTATTTACAAGAAAAATCCTCAGGTGAATCACTTGCAAAGAAAATTTGAAAAGAAATGCTTTTGAAAGAGTGAAGATGTTTGCTTTTGCATTGATTTTTAAAAATCATTTTAATTATCTGATTTTTATTTTTCATTAGTACATATTTGCAGTATACAATGATTGCAATTTCATTCATTGTGGAGAATTGATACATGCATATAACACATGTGCCAAAATTTATTTTATTTTTGGTGAGACAAATACTTGTCTCACTTGATTAATACACAAAATACTATGTGTATTAATCAAATCAAAGTAACAAGTATTTTCATGTCTTCAAACATTAATCTTTATGTATTGAGAATTTTGTACTCATCTAGTCATTTTGAAATATATTACAGATTATTCAACCAATAATTACTCTACTGTGCTATAGAAAACAGTTCTAATTCTTCCTGTTACATCTAAATGTTACCCATTTAGATGTAACACTTATAACATTTAAAGGCAGGGCTTTTGGAAGATGAATGGATTGTGAGGGCCTATAGTTGAGTTGCTATTGGAGAGGTGGGGTCTAGTTCCAGAAGATGGGTCACTGGAGGTGTGGCCGAAGGAGTAATCTGCCTCCCTAGCTTCTTCCTTGTTGCTTGGCTTCCTGTCTGCCATGCTATGAGCAGCTTTCCTCCACTATGGGCCTCTGCCAGGCCTTCTTGCCTTGGAGCCAGTGGACTATGGGTTGAAGCATAACCCAAAATAAATCTCTGCTTCCTTAAATTGTGGGTATTTGGCATTTTGTGCTATCATCAAGGGCTATAACTGGGAGATTTTAGAAGCAGAGAAGTGGGGTCATTTCTGTGATGCTTGTTGTTCAGAACTTTGGAACTGTTTTGTAAGGGGAGTTTGGAATAGTTTGAAGATGCCAGCTGGAGAAGCAGCCTTAAAATGTTTAAAATTAAAATTGATGGGAGGCTCTCATTAGAATTCAGAGCTCAGAAACTCAGATGCCAAGAGAAATACACCCCTTGTAAATACCAGGGTGAGGAGGTTTTAGTTGGGAACAAGGGCTCCATTGGCAATAGGACCTCAGGCCATATGTTATTATCCTCCACCAGAAAATATGTCTAAGTTTTGCTCATATCCTGAGACTACAAGAGACTGAGATTAAGGGTAGAAGACTAATTAAAATGGTGGTGGGAACTTTTGGGGGCTTTTTAGTCAGTTGCACATTGAGGACCAGGAGCAAAATTTCAATCTGAAAAGTTTTCAGTTTCCCCAAAAAAGGAAGAGCCTACAAAGTCCTACCAAAGAAATCATGGTTGCTGAAAAGATTAAAAGTAAGTGAAGCATTATCAATCAGGACAATAGGAAAAACAGCTTAAGGACATGTCAGGAACCAACAAGGACTCAACCTTCACAGCCTCAAAATTGCAAAGTGATTTTAATATAAAAAGAGCACCTCAGTAAACCATGCTCCAGAATGACCACCTAGGGTATTGGTTCCTCAGGATTCTTTTAACAGAGCCCAGCCATCAAGGCAGTCAGAGGCAGTGAAGCTATTTTAGGGTTCAATCTGGCAGCAGAATTTGACACCATCTACATTGTGCTGGTTTTACATGCATGCAGAATGCGAGTGCTGTGGTGTCATGGAGGCTTCCACTTATATTTCAAAAGAAAGCCAAGAGGTTTGGCAAGTGTGCTTGTGTCATGACACTGTGTTAATCTGTGAGAGTAAAGCCAAAAGTGCAGTGAGACTCCAGGAACTGGGAGATGCTAGGAATGTAAAATATCTGAAGACAGACTTAAGGAGTAAGCAAAGGCCATGAAAACTACAACCACCAACAATGCCACAGGAGCAGGGACAGCCAAGCCACTTGTTCACCTCTTGCCAGTTTTCCCTGAATGCTGGATATGTGACTATGCAACTTTGGGATTTAATATTTGATTTGCTGGTTTTCAGCCTTTCTTTGTCCTAATTTCTTTCTATTCTCCTATCTTTCATTTTAGAATGGAAATGTTTATCCTGTGCCATTGTACATCAGCTGTGTTTAACTTTCTTTTTGAGTTTTGCAAGGGCTTTCCATTAAGAGTTTACCTTAAGTCTCAGATATTATGAATCTGGACTTTTTAGCAATGCTAGAATAGTTGAGAGATTTTGCATAATAATATGTACATAAGTCTTTTGAAGGCCTAGAACAGAATGTTACTGTCAATATCTAGATGTCCCCCAAGAGTCTCATGGGTAAGGCTTTTCAAAGATAATGATTTGGAGGACATATGGTTAGGAGGTAGAACCTAGCTGGAGGAGTTAGGTCATTGTACACAGGGGGTTATATCTCCCTTTCTAGCTTGTTTTCACTCTGTTTGCCTGCTGTCATGACATTAGCAGTGTCTCTGTCTCTGTCTCTGTCTTTCCCTCTCTCCCTCCCTCCATCTCTCCCTCTGCCATGCTATTGTGTCTTGGAGCCAGTCAACCATGAATTGAAATATGAACCAAATAAACGTATCCTTTCTTCAGTTTCAGGATATTTGGTATTGTGACTCAGTGATGAGAAAAGCAATTACACTTTTTTTTTGTGTTTTGGTATCCATTACTGAACTTCTTTCCATCTTTTCTGCCCACAGAACTCCCCAATATCTTGTGATGGATTCTATTCCATTCTATGAAATTAACCTTTTTAGTTCACACAAGAATATGCATTTATTTCTGTTCTGGTTGATTTCACTTAACAGAATG